CTGCCTATTGCTGGACTCTGAAGATAGTGAGTAGGCAGGGTGGAGCTCAGGTCTGGGTGGAGGGTGTTCCATGATGCAGCTGGGGGCTAGAAGCCCAAAATGGAAGAGAACATACTAACACTCCTACCTTCCCAAAGACAAATAAATGAACAAACAAGACAAAAAGAAAACAAAAACAAAAAAACTCTTGTTTCTATTTCCTGGTGTTCATTTTGATAAATATGATTTTATATAATATATAATGAGTCACATAGGCATTGTGCCTTTGTGTTCCCCTAAGAGTATCCTCCTTTGGTCTCACTGTGTGGAATCTTCTTTATAAATAACATTTACTAGTCCATTAGTTTTTTCTTAAATTTTTGGTGCCAGTACTGAGGCTTGAACTTGGATTTAGGTTCCCTGCCTTTGTGTTTTAGCCCAAGGCTGGTACTCTACCACTTGAATCACAGCACCACTTCTGGCTTTTTGGTGATTAACCGGAGATAAAAGTCTCTTAGACTTTCTTGCCCTGGCCATCTTTGATCTGCAACCTTCAGATCTCAGTGAGTAGCTGACTACCTAGGATTATAGGCAGGAACTACAAACTTTTGGCCTTGCGAACATCTTAATCATGTTGCTTAAATAATTTGTGTGTAGGGCTGGGAAGGTGGCTCAGTGGTAGAGTGCTTGCCTTGCATGCATGAGGCCCTGGGTTCGATTCCTCAGCACCACATAAGTAAAAAGAAAAAAAAAGCCGGAAGTGGTGCTGTGGCTAAAGTGGTAGAGCGCTAGCCTTGAGCTGAAGAGCTGAGGGACAGTGCCCAGGCCCAGAGTTCAGACCCACGACCGGACACCCCCCCAAAAAAAAATGATTTGTGTGTTGACTGCAGTCAAAGCAAGACAGGAGACTTATGCATATAAGGACTTGTTTCCTTCTGCTTTTTTCCTGGGGCTTTGGGGGATGCTTTGTCATCTCATCTCATTGAACATGTTATCATGGGCTTTTCCCTGTGTAATCATGCTTCTCTCTTTATGTGTAAGGAAATTGAAGTAGATTAATAACCCACTCTACCACTTCCACCTTGCTTCTCCTAAAACCTAAGACACAATACCAGTTCTAGTCATTTCCCCTGGTCATGCTTGTTTAAGTATTAGGTAGAAATCTTCTAAATTTCTGGTACTGCCAAGTTGATAATGTGGAACTTGCTGGTCACTGATGGTTCACACCTGTAGTCCTAGCCACTCAAGAAGCTGAGATCTGATCCAGAAAATTGGAAGTGGAGCTGTAGCTCAAAGTGGTAGAGTGCTAGTCTTGAGCAAAAGAGCATAGGGACAGTGCCCAAGCCCCATGGCCAAAAAAACAAGAAAAAGAAAAAAAAGTTGCTTTCTTTGTATTTGAGGCAAAATATTTTCTTTTCTTTTTTTTTTTTTTTTTTTGGGTCCGGTCATGGGGCCTGAACTCTGGGCCTGGGCGCTGTCCCTCAGCTCTTCAGCTCAAGGTTAGCACTCTACCACTTGGACCACAGCGCCACTTCTGGCTTTTTTCTTATGTGGTGCTGAGGAATTGAACCCAGGGCCTCGAGCATGCAAGGCAAGTGCTCTACCACTGAGCCACCTTCCCAGCCATTTGAGGCAAAATATTTTCTTGAACTCTGTTTTAATGGCGAGGTGGCTAATTGGAAGGACCCAATTAAAGCAGACCCTATTAAAAACGAAAGCAGAGCTGGAAAGGTGGCTTAGTGGTAGAATGCTTGCCTAGCATGCATGAAGCGCCGGGTTCCATTCTTCAGTACCACATAAACAGAAAAAGCCAGAAGTGGCACTGTAGCTCAAGTGGTAGAACGCTAGCCTTGTACAAAAGGAGCTCAGGGACAGTGCTCAGGCCCAGGCCCTGAGTTCAAGCCCCAGGACTGGCCAAAAAAATAAAGCAGAATGGGCTGGGGGAGGGGTAGGCTGAAGTGGTAGAGGTCCTGGATAGCTAAGTGCAAGCCTCTGAGTTCAAACCTCAGTATACAAAATAAAGGCTTCAGCTTATAATGAAAATACAACATAAGTGTCTGGCATAATTACAAACCTGTAATCCCAGAACTCAGGAGATAGAAACAGGATTGAGTCAACTCCAGAATAACCCATTTGTAATGATATTGTGAGCATTGTGGTTTTTTGTTTGTTTGTTTGTTTTTGTTTTTGTTTTGTTAGATGTGGGGCTTGAACTCTGGGCCTGGGTGTTGTCACTGGGCTCTTCGGCTCAAGGCAAGCACTCTACCACTTGAGCCACAGTGGCTGGGAAGGTGGCTCAGTGGTAGAGCACTTGCCTTGCATGCATGAGGCCCTGGGTTTGATTCCTCAGCACCACATAAGCAGGGGGAAAAAAAAGCCGGAAGTGGTGCTGTGGCTCAAGTGGTAGAGCGCTAGCCTTGAGCTGCAGAGCTGAGGGACAGCACCCAGGCCCAGAGTTCAGGTCCCATGACAGGACCCAAAAAAACCCAAAAAACCACTTGAACCACAGTGCCACTTCTGGTTTTGTGGTAGTTATTTGGAGATAAAAGTCTCACAGACTTTCTGCCCGGGCTGGCTTTGAATCATTATCCTCAGATCTTAGCCTCCTGAATAACTAGGATTATAGGTGTGAGCCACCAACATCCGGCCAATGCATTCTTTTTTTGTTGTTTTAACATCAAATTGATAATATGTCAATTCTTTCCCATATATAAACCTTTTCATAAAGATAAGATCTAAAGCTAAATTGCCTTACTCTTAGGCATTTCTCAGGACATCTAAAAATTGAAATTCTCTATCCCAAATTCTCTGTTGCAAAACTTAAGTATTGTAATGAACTGTGCTTCTCTATATTCATGTCAGCACACTTGGTTCTACTGTGTATGGTAGCTGTTTTGCTATCAGTGCCTGTTCAATTCAGCTACTAGGAAATGACACCAACATGTACTCACCAGGAGTTAGTACTAGTTAGTAGCCATAGTAATTTCTCTTTATCTTTGTTTGTCTTCGTGTGTCCCACCTTCCCTTCCCCGCCTCCCCCCATAAAAAGTCTGAGGTATCACTTTCTCTTTTCTTTCCTATCATAAATGCAAACTTCATAGAACATGAAAGAACAGCTGGTGCCAGTGGCTTAGGCTTGTAATCCTAGCTACTCAGGAGGCTGCCATCTGAAGATTTCAGTTCAAAGCCTGCCTGAGCAGAAAAATCTGTGAGACTCTCCTCTCCAATTAACCATGGAGAGTTGGGGAGGGAATAGCTGGAAGGAGAGCTGTGGCTCAAGTGGTAGAGTACTATCCTTGAGCAAAAGAGTTCAGGAGCTGCATCCAGGCCCTGAGTTCAAATCTTAGGACTGCCCCCCCTTTCCCAAAAAAGTCTGATTGCTATTTATTATAGATAGTGACTTTTTTTTTTTTTTTTTGGGTCCGGTCGTGGGGCCTGAACTCGGGGCCTGGGCGCTGTCCCTCAGCTCTTCAGCTCAAGGCGAGCACTCTACCACTTGAGCCACAGCGCCACTTCCGGCTTTTTTCTTTTTGCTTATGTGGGTGCTGAGGAATCGAACCCAGGGTGGCAGGCATGCAAGGCAAGCGCTCTACCACTGAGCCAACTTCCTAGCCCTAGATAGTGACTCTTAAATGAGGCACTTTTGTTCACATATGAAAGGTTTGGCCCACTTCTGATAATGCTCCATAGAAACAGCTAAAGAAGTAGGAAGTGGTTATATCCTGCGCAACGTTTTTTTGTTGTTGGTGGTTGTGGGGCTTGAACTCTAGACCTGGGCGCTGTCCCTAAGCTCTTCAACTCAAGGCCATCGCTCTACCACTTGAGCCACAGCACCACTTCTGGTTTTCTGAGTGGTTTATTAGAGGTATGCCTGGGTTGGCTTTGAACCATCATACTCAGATCTCAGCCTCCTGAATAGCTAGGATTACAGGTGTGAGCCACCAGTGCCTGCTTTGCCCTCTTGTATTGATAAGCCTAAATCTATTAATGTAGAGATGGACTGTCAAGATTAAAACTACACTTGATTGTTTAGATGGAATGATCTTAATTGCCCTTATTTTAAACTGGCATTTCAAGGCTTTCCACAAAGTCATGTTTCATGATTCACCTTAAGGTTAGCCTTAGGAACATTGATACTACCAAAGAACCCTAAACATCTTTTCTAGGTTGTATCTACTTTGGTCATTCATGATTAAAACTCTAATTTTTCTGTTTATTTGATCACTTCTATTGAAAATTTAAACAGTGACAGTAATGCATCCTTTTTTGGTCTTTGGGGCTGAACTCTGGGTCTGGGCGCTGTCCCTCAGCTCTTCAGCTCAAGGCTAGTGCCCTACCACTTTAGCCATTTCCGGCACCACTTCCACCTTCTTTCTGCTTATGTGGTGCTGAGGAATTGAACCCAGGGCCTCATGCATTCGAGGCAAGCACTCTACCACTGGGCAACTTCCCAGCCCCTGTTTGTTTGTTTGATGCCAGTCCTGAGTCTAGCTCAGGGCACTGTCCCTGAGGTGTTTTTTGTTTTGTTTTGTCTGTCGTTGTCTTCCCCTTCCCCTCCCCCCCCTCCCCCCAAGCTAGCATTCTACTACTTGAGCCATAGTTCTACTTGCAGGTTTTTGGTGGTTAATCAGAGGTAAATCTCACACACTTTTCTGCCCTGGCTGGCTTTGAACTGTAATCCTCAGATTTTAGCTTCCTGAATAGCCAGGATTACAGGTATGAGCCACTGGCTTCTGGCTACATCTTTTTTTTTCTTTTTTCTTTTCTTTTTTTCTTTTTTTGTGTGTGTGGTGCTGGGGATCTAACTCAGGGCTAAGATGTATCCTTTCCCCCACCTGTCATTCTTCACTAGAACATCCTGAAAAAATAAACAGAGATGCTTTGTGTAGAAAAGCTCCAGCAAGATCCAAGTGTTTGGTCCCAGATCTTAACACAGGTAACAGGATATGGTATAGAGAAGTAATAGTGCTTGATAGCAAAATTGATAACAAAAATTTTCATTGTATCTTTCCCTCCCTCAGTGTCGTCTAGACTGTCACAGCCATCCTCCCCACAGTCAGGCTGCCCATCACCCACCATCCCAGCAGGTAAAGTCATTTCTCCATCACAGAAGCACAGCAAAAAGGCACTAAAACAGGTAAGCATTGCTAGTTTGTGTTTACTAGTCAGATAATCTCCCAAATAAAAAATATGTTAAAGAGCCAGGTGGTGGCACACTCTGGTAGTCCTAGATACTTGGTAGGCAAAGACTGGAGGATTGACAGTTTGAGCCCAGACTGGACAATATAGCAAAACCTTATCTTCAAAAGAGGACAGGAGGGGGCATTATTTCAGCAGGTACTGAAAATTTTTGAAGCTTTTATATTAAGCTGTTGTAAGGGGAAATTTTATGCACTTCTGTGAAATATCCATTGTAGGTTTTTGGTAGATACTTTGTCACATTTTTGAAGTTCTTAATTTTTTTCCCTAGTTTGCTAAGCAGTTTCTTTTTGCATGCTTTTTGAAAATCATGAATAGCTGTTGAATTTTTCATGTTTGTTGTCTTTTTTCCCCCCTTCTTTTTTTTGCGGTGCTAGGGATCTAACCCAGGGCTAGACACATACTAAACAGGTGCTTCTACCACTGAGCCACATCCCCTGCCCTCAGGTTTGTTTCATTTGAAATTTGTTGAGATGATCATATAGATTTTTTCTTAATTTATCAAGTATAATTACATAACTGAATTCTCTCTTTTAAAAAAAATAGCTTACATTGGTTATTCAGAGGAGTATTTCATTGTTACATTTAATTTTTTTAAAGAGGTTCTTGCTTTTTGCCTGGATCAACCAGGACTAAAATCCTCCTATGTATATTTTCTTCATAGCTAGGATGATAGGCATGAGCCATCAGGCTCAGCCTTTACTTGGTTGAGATAGGACTCTCACAAACATTTTTTCTGGAATTGGCCTTGAGCCCTGATCCTCCTGATGTCTGCCTCCAGAGTAGTTAGGGCTACAGGTGTGAACCACTATGCTTGGCCTAAATTTTCTAGTATTATTGGTAGCTCTGTGGAATAATCCTGATTGTGCTTACAAAATAATTTTTAAAATTATTGAGTTTTCTTATAGGTTTAGTATGGTTTTACAGTGTTGTGCTATCTTAGAGTAGTTGTGAAATCAGGACTGCTCTACCATCATAAACTATAAAGATCTCTTTTTTGCAAATTTTGAAAATTTTACAAATTAGTACTTTTCAAGTTTTTTTTGTGTGTGTGTGTAGGGGGCGGGTGGCGGTGATTGTTTTTCAGTCCTGGGGCTTGAACTTAGGACCTGGGCGCTGTCCCTGAGTTTTTCTGTTCAAAGCTAGCACTCTACCATTTTGAACCACAGTTCCACTTCTGGTTTTCTGGTTAATTGGAGGAAAGAGCCCATACTGGCTTTGAACCAGGATCCTCAGATCTCAGCCTCCTGAGTAGTGAGGATTGTAGGCAGAAGCCACCACCTAGCTTGTTAAGATTTAATAACATTTCTTAAAATAATTTTTAAGATTTAATAACATCTCTTAAAATATTTTTTTCCAGAGATGTACAAGTCGTTATGTGGAAAAACGAACTTTACAACTTTGGGGGTGGGGGGAAGAGGGGGATTGAGTGGAGGGGTGGAGGGAGGATGGGAAGGGGAAACAAAGGAGGAGGATACTATGCTTGATAAGAAATGTACTCATTATCTTGCCCATGTAATTGTAACCCCTCTGTACAGTATTTTCACAATAAAAAAAATAATTTTTCCAGCATCATAGTAGTAGCTGACACTAATTTCTTGCTTTTTTTTTTTTTTTTTTTTCCTCTTCTCTCTTTTTGTGCTCAACCTGGGGCTTGAATTCAGGTCCTGAGCTTTTTTGCTCTACCCCTTGAGCCGTAGCTCCACTTCTGGCATTTTATTTATTAATTGGAGATAAGAGTCTTACATATTTTCCTGGCATGTGATCCTTAGATTTCAACTTCCTAGTGGCTAAGATTACAGGCATGTACCATCACCTAGTTTCTGCCCTTTTTTTTTTATCCTTTTGGTGGTAGTAGGGCTTGAACTTAAGGCCTTATGCTTGTTGTTATACTTGCTAGGCAGATACTCTGCAACTTGAGCCACACTTCCAGCCTTTTTTGTTTTGTTTTGCTTTAGTTATTTTTCGGGTAGTGTTCATATTTTGCTCAGATATGATACTTCTATTTACAATCTCCCACATACCTGGGTTACCTTCCAAGTAACTAGGGTCACAGATACTTGCCACCTGGATTATTTTGATGGAGTCTTACTTTTTTTCTGGGTATCTCAAACCATAATCCTCCTATTCTCTGTCTCTTAAGTAGCTTAGAGTACAGGTATGACCACCACATTTGGCCTGTTTTCTCTTTTTTTAGCCAGTTTTTAGGAATTCAGTCTTTCTTAGAAACAGTCATCTTAGCTGGGTGCTGGTGGCTCATATCTAGCTACTCAGGAGGCTGAGATCTGAGGATCACGGTTCAAAGCCAGCCTGGGCAGGAAAGTTTTTGAGACTCTTATTCTCCAATAAACCACTCAGAAAACCAGAAGTGGCACTGTGGCTCAAGTGGTAGCACTAGTCTTGAGCTGTGCCCAGGCCCAGAGTTCAAGTCCCGTGACCCCCCCCCCCCCCCCGCCCAAAAAAAAAAGTCATTTTTACCTACTTTTTTCAAAAACTGATAGAATGTTATAATTGAGGTTTTTTTTGTTTTTTTGTTTTTTCCGGTCATGGGGCTTGAACTCTGGGCCTTGGTGCTGTCCCTCAGCTCTTCAGCTCAAGGCGAGTGCTCTACCATTTGAGCTAAAGCGCCACTTCCATCTTTCTAGAGGTTTATTGGAGATAGGAGTCTCATACTCTTTCCTGCCTGGGCTGGCTTTGAACCCTTATCTTCAGATCTCAGTTCCTGAGTAACTAGGATTACAGGCGTGAGCCATGGGCGTCAGACTCCGAGTTTTTTGTTTTTGTCTTTGTTTTTTGTTTTGTTTTTGGTACCAGTCCTGAGGCTTGGAACTCAGAGCCTGGGCTTTTATGCTTTAAGGCTACCATTCTACCACTTGAAAACAGCTCCACTTCTGGCTTTTTTTTGGTCAGTCATGGGGTTTGCACTCTGGGACTGGGTGCTGTCCCCGAGCTCTTCAGCTCAAGGCAAGTACTCTATTTCTTGAGCCACAGCGCCACTTCCAGTTTTCTGGTGGTTAATTGGAGGTTAGAGTCTCATGGACAACACACAAGCCCAGAGTTCAAGCCCCAGGACCTATAAAAAACAAAACAAAACAAAGTTTAAATTACATGATTTTTACAGTGTTTAAAACCATAGCTTTTTACTAAAATCTATCTTTAAGTTATCTGGAAGATTTTCAGAAGTGTAAGATGTGCTTTTCCACAGGGAAAAGGCAAGTGTAGAATCTATTAGGTGGTTGGTGATGTGTATAAGACTGTAACATAGTTCTGTATGTCCAGTGTACTCTTGTATCTTTCATTTTTTTTTTTTTTTTGTCTTTTTTTTTTTTTTTTTGTCCGGTCGTGGGTCTGAACTCTGGGCCTGGGCGCTGTCCCTCAGCTCTTCAGCTCAAGGCTAGCGTTCTACCACTTGAGCCACAGTGCCACTTCCGGCTTTTTTCTTTTTGCTTATGTGGTGCTGAGGAATCGAACTCAGGGCCTCAGGCATGCAAGGCAAGTGCTCTACCACTGAGCCACCTTCCCAACCCTGTACTTTGTATCTTAAGAATCAAATATTGTAGAAGTGGCGCTGTAGCTCAAGTGGTAGAGCGCTCGCCTTGAGCTGAAGAGCTGAGGGACAGCGCCCAGGCCCAGAGTTCAGGCCCCATGACCGACAAAAAAAAAAAAAGAATCAAATATTGTGTGTTCTTGAGGGGATGTCAGTATGGTATGTAAATTTAAGCTTTTGTTCCCAGTGTATTTTTCATAATATAAGTTAATATAAATTATTCTGTTTTTAGTCTTTTACCCCAAATGAGGGGATTTTATTATTTATTAACTTCAAAATTATGAACTGTGTTTGTAAACTACTAAAGGGAGAAGAGTTGTGTGTAGTTTTTTATTAAAAGAATTTAAATTATTAAGCTCTAGTCATGAGTCTGAATTTATATAGATACAGCAGAAATAGATGAGATCTGTGATTCTGTTAAGTTTTGTAGTATTCTGGAATGACCTTTGGTCCTATCAAATGATGAATATTGATGATTCACCACTTGAGCAGCCTATGGACATCTTCTGGTCAGATTGCAAAGCATGAGAGAACAAGCCATACTCAGCTGTCATTTTTCACACAATGTGCTCTGCTTCATCTACTCTAAAGCTTGTATCTAAATTCAACATCTAGCACTTTTTTATTTTTCTCCATTATCTGCTTATAGCAAGAAGATGAATTGTTGACACTGCCTACACCACAGCCAGGGATGTGTATGAATGTTAAACAGCATAGCAGCCAGTTGTTTCACATTTGTCTGTATAACAGGCATGAAAGTTTAAGCTGACAACTGGCTAATTAATGTCAGAATTTTTTTTTTCTGAAAGTTACATTGTTGATGTTTGTTTATCTGTGTGGGGGGGAGAAACAAAAGAAGAAAAACCAAGGGTTTCATGCATGCTAGGTAAGCACTCTACTGCTAAGCCACATTTCCAGCCAGTTTTTTCTTTCTTTCTTTTTTTTAAAGTTTTAGTGTTTTTCTTCTTTTGTTTGATTAAGAAAATTGCTTTTGGTATTTTTATGGTTAAAGTTTAAGATTTTTTTTTGGTTTTCTCTTCTTTCTTAGTTTTATTATCAAGAATATGTATGAATTAAGAACTTCATAGAAATAAAAATAATTTGAAGTAATCAGAAAGAACCATGCTGTTCTTCAAATCAGCACTGTCTAGTCTTCCTTTCCTTCTGTTTATTGCATTGCTGCAGATTGCTGACTTTTGATCATTGGGATAAGTCCCATTGTTCTTATCCATGATAAAGAGTTTTTCAACACTTCTGAATCATAATAAGTAAGCTAAGTATTTGTTTTTCTACATAGGATTGATACTTATAGTACTACTCTTCTTGGTATAGGGTTGAGAATCCTGTTTTCAGAAATGATAAAGAATGTACAATTCTCTAATTACAAGATTGCAAAATCATTGGTAATTTTTAAATTCTAAACAATGTTAGTGACTTTCCTTCATATTTCCATCTAAGTGAACGATTCTGAGAATAAAAATCCAGTCCTTTTTTTTCCTTTTTTCTTTTTTGGTCATTCAGAAACTTCTTCTCAAGCCGTTTTTATTTCTTTTTTTTTTTTTTGGGTCCGGTCATGGGGCCTGAACTCTGGGCCTGAGCGCTGTCCCTCAGCTCTTCAGCTCAAGGCTAGCGCTCTACCACTTGAGCCACAGCGCCACTTCCGGCTTTTTTCTTTTTGCTTATGTGGTGCTGAGGAATCGAACCCAGGGCCTCATGCATGCAAGGCAAGCGCTCTACCACTGAGTCACCTTCCCAGCCCACCGTTTTTATTTCTTTTATTAGTATACATTAGTTAAACAGGGAAAACTCAGTCATTAGGAGTTATGTTTCATTGGCTTAACTTAGGTTTGTCTATCTTGATAGATTTCATAGAAAGTCAATAAATGGTATGGTTCTCACCACTCAAAAAAGCCATTCAGGTGGGTTTTTTTGTTTTTTGTTTTTTTTTGGGTCCAGTCGTGGGCCTGAACTCTGGGCCTGGGCGCTGTCCCTCAGCTCTTCAGTCAAGGCTAGCACTTTACCACTTGAGCCACAGCGCCACTTCTGGCTTTTTTCTTTTTGCTTATGTGGTGCTGAGGAATCGAACCCAGGACCTCATGCATGCAAGGCAAGCACTCTACCACTGAGCCACCTTCCCAGCCCGGTTTTTTTGTTTTTTGAGGGTTGTTTTTGTTTTTGTTTTTGTTTTGGTCAGTCCTGGGGCTTGAAGTCAGGGTCTGGACACTGTCCCTGAGCTTCTTTTGCTCAAGGCTAGCATTCTACCACTTGAGCCACAGAACCACTTCCAGCTTTTTCTGTATATGTGGTACTAAGGAATCGAACCAAGGCCTTCATGCATGCTAGGCAAGCACTCTACCGCTAAGCCACATTTCCAGCCAGTTTTTTCTTTTCTTTTCTTTTCTTTTTAAGTTTTAGTGTTTTTCTTCTTTTTATTTCTTTTCTTTATTTCTTTTTGTTTATGTGGTACAGGGGAATCAAACCCAGGGCCTCATGTATGCTAGGCAAGCACTCTACTACTTAGCCATATTCCCAGACCAGCCATTTAGTTGTTATAATTAAACTCTGATTTGTTTTGTTTCTTACAGTCATTTTTTTTCTTCATAGGCCCTAAAGCAGCAGCAGCAGAAGAAACAGCAGCAGCAGCAATGCAGACCTAGCATGTCCATTGCCTCCAACCAACACCTTTCTCTTAAGACTGTCAAAGCAGCCAGTGATTCTGTCCCAAACAAAGCTGGTAGGCAGTTTAGTAATATTTAATGGGCATTTCTTTTCCCCAGTATTTTTCTGTTGATTTTACAAATTTATGTAATGCATCATCATATTAAAGTTGATTCAGTCACAGAATTATTATATTGCCAAATCATCATTATAAATCCTCCTAGGATAAATGGAAAACCTGTGTTGTAAGTCATTATACAGTTATTTAAAGGTACATCAATGAGATTTATAATGAGATTGTAAGAAGGAAATTAATGACTACCTCCCATAATGTCTAACTTAATAATAACATTTGCAAGCTTCTCATCTTAACCTTACAAATGTCTTGTTATTGTGTCATAGTGAACTCCTTACCAGTGTCTCCTTCAAAAAATCAGAAAGTTCCCAAGAATATGTAGTATGGCTTCAGTTTCCGCTGCACATTTGCCTTTGGATCTTTTTGTTATTGTTTGTCTTGTTTTTAATCCAAGCTGGCTTCAGACACTGTATTACATTACATAATTCATTTTGACGTATATACTTTTGGGGGGGGGGAGGGGGAGAGGGGAGCTGCCATAGAATGAAAGTTCTGAGTCTTGCTTTTTTGTTAGAAAGGAGACTTGCCACCAGAAATAAATATAGTATAGGAAGGCATTTTACTTTTTTTTTTCTCTTGTCAAACTTGGAACATATTAGCAGGGCCACATTTCCTCAAATATAACTCTCTTTAGTTAATATCGTATGATTCTTTGTTTGATTTTTGTCTATATCCTCAGTGGCGCCAATATTTACATGTTTTTTCCTTAGCAATATGGGAAGGAAAGCAATCTGATGGACAGTCAAGCAGTCCCCAGAACTCAAACTCCAGCTTTTCTTCCTCAATGAAAATGGAAAGTCCCTTGCTAAGCTTGGGGAAGAAGTCTTTCCAGAGGTCTGACAGGCTCCACACAAGTAAGTTAGTTTACAGAGACTTCCATTTTTATTTCTGTAACTTATCATCTATGTAACCGAAATTCATTAGCTATTGCCATAGGTTTAGTGCATGATTAGAGGTACATAGCAAGGATTAGACATTTCTTTTGTTGATGTAATTTTAGGGATTCTGTTTATTTGTTTTTGTTAAACTAGGGATTGGACACATGACTTTACACTTGATAAGGAAACACTCTGCTATACCTCCAGCCTGACATAATTACTTTTGGGTCCTTTCCCTTTCCTTTTCCTTTTCCTTTTCCCTTTCCCTTCCCCTCCCCCTTCCCTTTCCCTTTCCCTTTCCCCTTCTGTTTCCCCTTCCCCTTCCCTTTCTCCTCCCCCTTCCCTTGCTTCTCCCCCTTCCCTTTCCCCTTCCCCTCCTCTTTTTTTTTTTTTTTTTTACAAGTTTTTTATTGTGATTAAGTGATTACATAAATTTCACAAAATTCACAGTATTGTGGGATAGTGATACTTAAAGTCACAAACACATTTTAACCTTCATGGGGCAAATTGTCTTTATCGTGGTCTATAAAGTTTATGAGTTCTATGAGCTTTGACAGTGCACATTGGGTGATATGTACATTCCTTTCCTTTTGCTTAGTGTCAGCTGTTCCTCTTTCCCACTTACTCCCTCCTTCCCACTGCTGCCATTGAGTTGCTTAGTTCCTATTAATCAATGTCCAGTGCAGCTGGTGGGTCCTGCTGTTGTATGTTTTCCTGTTTCCCTCTGTTTCTGTGTCCTCCTCCTAGTTTTCCTTCAGTGTGCACATATATACCATTTATGTGGTCAGCAGTATGGGGTCAGTTAGTAATGATTCGACCGGATGAGTCCTTCCCCTCCTTTTTGCCTTTTTGTTGTTGTTTGTTTCGCTTTGAGACAAGATCTTGCTTTGTAGTCCAAGCTGGCCTTAAACTCAGTTCTCCTGCTTCAGTCTCCCAAGTGCTGGCATTACAAGTGTTTACCACAATACCTGGTCCTGACCAGACTGATTTAAGACATAATATAAAATATGGATGGAATTCATATAATTTGTCTTTTTTATATGTTTATTATCCACTGTTCACTTTTTTTAGAAATTTTTTTGTAACAGGAATGTACAGAGGGGTTACAGTTACAGCTCTTAACTATCTTCCTGTCCTCTACTTACCAAACTTCATTTCAGAAAAAGATGTTATCACTTTGTGGTTTCTCTCTCTCTCTCTCTCTCTCTCTCTCTCTCTCTCTCTCTCTTCCTCTCCCCCTCCCCCCCTTTTTCCCCCCTCCCTCCCTCCCTCCCTCCCTCCCTCCCTCCCTCCCTCCCTTCCTTCCTTCCTTCCTTCCTTCCTTCCTTCCTTCCTTCCTTCCTTCCCTCCCTTCCTTCCTCCCTTCCCTCCCTCCCTTCCTTCCTCCCTTCCTTTCTTCTTTCATCGGTCATGGGGCTTGAACTCTGGACTTGGGCCCTGTTCCTGAGCTCTTCACCTCAAGGCAAGTGTTCTACCACTTGAGCCACAGGGCCACTTCCAGTTTTCTAGTGGTTGATTGGAGATAAGAGTCTCATGGATGTTCTTGCCCGGGCTGGTTTTGAACTGTGGTCTTTAGATCTCAGCCTTCTAAATATCTAGTCATGAGCCACCAGTCCTGGCCTTCTTTCTTTTTTTTTTTTTAGCTAGACCTGGGACTTGAACTGTGGGCCTGGTACTGCCCCTTTTTGCTCAAGGCTAGTGCTCTACCACTTGAGCTACAATGCCACTTTGAGCTTTTGCTGTTTATACGGTACTAAAGAATTGAACCCAGAGCTTCGTGTATATTAGGCAAGCACACTACCACTGAGCCACATTCCCAGCCAGTTTCTCTTTCTAACAGTAAGTTGCTTTGTCCTGGTTTTTTAATGTACTTCTGTAAACTGAAAGAAAGATTTATAATTACATATGACAAACAGAACCTTTTTTTCCTCCTCCTTTGAAAACCTCACTAAAATGAGAATATGGGGGAACAAAAAGATTGAATCCATATATGTGAAGAAAAGAAGAACCAATTGGGCAGTGCCAACAAATTTTGAAAGATGAAAACTAAATGAAAGGCCGGCGCCAGCGACTCATACCTGTAATCCTAGCTACTCAGGAGGCTGAGATCTGAGGATCGCAGTTTGAAGCCAGCCTCAGAAAAGTCCCTGTGAGACTCTTATCTCCAATTAACCACTCAAAACCTGCAAGTGGTACTGTGACTCAGTGGTAGAGTGCTAGACTTGAGCACAAAGAGGCTCAAGGACAGCACCCAGGCCCTGAGTTCAAGCCCCACAATTAACCAAAAAAAAAAAAACAACCAAAACCAAAAAACTGGATGGAACTGAAAAGCAGGTGCCATTAATAAGCAAGCCATCCATAGCTGCTGAACACCAGAAAGGTTCAAGAAGTAGAGAGATGATGTATTACAGAAGAGAAAGGTTAAGGCATAGGTTTGAAAAGAAGAGCCTCGCTGAGAATATGGTTGAATGGTAGAGTTTACTTAAATACGCCAAGTCCCTGGATGCATTACCAGCACACCAAAAAGAAGAATTTTGTTTGCAAGTTACTGAGTAGTTTGAAGTTTTACACAGAAAAAAGGCCTATTTTAAGGTGAAATTGATTAAAAATGCTTCAAATATAGAAACACAACATATAGCTAAGGGCAGATTGTATACTGAACTCAGGGACACCCAAGTAAAATTCAAACACTCAAAGGTGGATCTCCTGTTGGCTTTTAGAATACTTAATAGTGAAGCACATTCCTGCCACCACTACTTCGCATCTCCTCCTACCAGGAGATGGGCAGATTGGTATCTAAGGAAATTGAATAACCTCAGAAAAAAGATTAAGACAAATTTACCAAGTTCCCAACAAATATATCATCAACTCTGGGCACTGGTGGCTCACGCCTGTAATCCTGCCTACTCAGGAGACTGAGATCCAAGGATCATGCTTTAAAGCCAGTCTGGGCAGGAAAGTCAGTGAGACTTTTATCTCCAGTAAACCATTCAGAAAACCAGAAGTGGTACTGTGGTTTAAGTGGTAGAGCACTCACCTTGAGCTGATGAGCTGAGGGACAGCGCCCAGGCCCAGAGTTCAAGTCCCATGACCGACAAAAAAAACAACAAAAACAAACATATTGTTCTTTTCACATTTCTTTGAGGCCCATAATCTAGAAGAGCTGCCATGTACACGAAATTTGCACTTAGTTTTTTAGTACTTTTTGTTTTGTTCTATTCACTAAGATTCCTTTGAAGAAATCCTTCATCAGGAGAGGAAGAAACAGGTGAAACAGATTCCAGGAAAGAGAAAATATAAAAATTACTATGATACCACATAAGCAAAAGAAGAAATCATATCTATAACAGAACAGAATCCTTTTTTATTTTGAGGCACAATAAAGCCTAGGTTGCCCTAGAAGTCACCAGGCCTTCAATTTACAATCCTGCCACAGCCTCCCAAGTACTGATATTATAGGTATGCATCATCACACCTGGCTGAGAATACTATTTTTATTGTCATTTTATTTTTCAGTGCTAGAGATCAAACCCATGGCCTTGTACATAATAACTAAGTGCTATACCAGTGAGCTACATCACCAGTACCGGAGACACCTGGCTCCTTGCTCTGTTTTTTTTGCTCAGGGCTGGTACTCTACCACTTGAGCCACACTTCCATTTCTGTCTCTTTACTGAGTTAATTGGAGGTAAGAGTCTCAGAGACTTTTCTGCCTGGGTTGGCTTTGAACCATAATCCATAGATCTCAGTCTTCTGAGTAGATGTCATGAACTACCAGTGCCATTTTGTGTGTGTTGTGTGCGCGCGTGTGTGCGTGCATGCGCTCACATGTGTGCATGTGTGTGATGGGTGTATATATCAGTCCTGAGGCCTAAACTTAGGTTCTGGAGCGTTTTGGTGATTAAATAAGCCCTAGCTGGCTTTAAATTGTGATCCTTAGATCCTAGCCCCCTTAAGTAGCTAGAAGTACTGGTATGTGCCACTGGTGCCCAGCTAACAGCAGCATTTTTTAAAGTAAGAAAAATGACGTGTTGAAAGATAGTAAATTATATGCTAGTTGAAATTTAAATATATATTGGAAATACTGAAAGATGAAACTGAAAATTTTCCTAGAAAATATGTCAGGGCAAAATTCTGTGAGAGCAAAGAGGCTAGAAAATTGGAACACTAATAGTCCTAAATCATAAGGCAATCTAAAAGGAAGAACAGAAGTTTGAAAAGGAAGTAAATGGTAAGACAAACTATATAAGAGCATCTTAGAGCGGGCGCCGGTGGCTCACGCCCTAGCTACTCAGGAGGCTGAGATCTGAGGATCCAGGTTCAAAGCCAGCCCGGGCAGTTAAGTTGGTGAAACTCTTATCTCCAATAAACAACTAGAAAACCAGAATTGGCGCTGTGGTTCAAGCAGTAGAACGCTTGCCTTGAGCTGAAGATCTGAGCTGAGGGAGCACCCAAGACCAGAGTTCAAGCCCACGACCAAAAAAAAAGAACATCTTAGAATTAAAAGTTCATGAACGATAAATGTCAAAAAATATAAATAAAAACTGCACCAATAAACAGTGTTTTGAATTTGAAAACATCCAGGATAAGAAGGTTCCAAAGAGCCTCCAAGAAAGAGAAAGAAAATGTTTAAGACTCAAAGATTCAAAAACTGGGATTATACATGTTTATTAAAGCATTGTTCTCAATAACCAAGACGTAGAATCAAACTAATGGCAATATGGATAAAGATAAGTATTTACATACAGTGTAAATTCTGATATTGATGACATCTCTGAGATGTGATAAACTTCAGAAAGATAAAAATTAGTGATCTCACTCATGTGGAATCTAAAGTGTTGATCTCAGAAGTTGAGTAGAACAGACATTACCAAATGCTAGGGAAAGTGAGGAATGTAGGGAGGAAGGATGGGGAAAGATTACTCAGTAGGTACTAAGTTACAATCAGATGGAGAAATTGTTGTTTTGCTATTGAC